ATCAACAACCTCAGCTACATTTCAACAGTACACACAAGTACAATTAATTTCAGGAACGGCAGTCGGGCCATACAAAGACATCTATGTAGCATAAATCGTAGCTGTAGGCTTTGAATATCAAGCAAGTTACCGGGGCTCTCCACTATGTAATGACACTGCTCATCTGGAGCGTGAAGGGCCCGTACAACTCTGTGACTCCTGCCATTTCCTAATCAGCAGAAATCGGTCAAACTTTTCCTTTCCCACTACGAGCAATAGGGTTGAGTTTCTGTGAAGTTGGGTTTTTCCATGCTGTGAATACAGATGTCAACTGCCAGCGGAGGGTCTGGCTGGTGCCATGTCTGGCACTGCATGTCTGAGCAGGGCCTTGGCTGGCTGATCAGAGCTGAGGGATGCAGGGGTGGGCTCAATGGGAGAGTGGAAAGTAGTGGAGCTTTTCACATTTCAGCTGTGTCTAAAACTCTTTTGATGTTTTGTCTGGCTTACTCTGATGTTCTCTTCCTCTCCCCCTCTCTCTTGCATAAACCACTTCTCCCCCACTTCCCTTCTGTCATGGATTGCGTGTCTCCTTCTCAAAATCTTGCTTGTTTTAGGGGGCTTATGGAAAATCTATAACAGGTGGGCTGTGTTTGAAGGGTATGTCTTTTCTAATTATCTGTTTGCAGAGGGATTTGGGTGGGTGGTTGCGAGGCCAAATATTCTCCCAACCTAGTCTTGCTGCTTGCCTGCCTGCCTGCCTACTATATGTTGCCTTTAAACACATTGGGTCTATATTGTATTTCAGGTTGGTCTAATGAAGTCTGTTCTCATCCAGGTCTCCAGGATAAGTACAGTGCTCTTTGTTTGCAACCAGGGTCGGCATTGTTTTGTCATTATGTACGCCGATTATCTGCCATTTTGCAATAATCGGCATGGGCTGATGTCTACGGTCACAAGGCCAATAAACGTTGTTTACGTACATCTGTAGGCAGCGTTGTCAGTGTGGCTGCTGTGGGGAAAATGTTAACACTCCCCCGTGAGTTTTGGGAATGTAGTGATAAAGTTAGATTCTAGCTTTGTAGCATAACTCTCACACATTCTGCTGCAAATGTTTGCCAACATTTCCTCAGTCTCCATAATCTTTTCTAAATGTTAATACTCTTCTCCTAAATGACCGCAAATAAGCTCATCTAAAACCATTACTGGCTAATGCTGTTGAATTATGTCTCTTCTACCATACTGTACCCAGCTCTCTCTTAAATACTAGTCACATTCTGAAATCTACAGTATAAACCAATGTATTTTTCTGTAAATATCGCCATTAGAAAACCCATATCGGTCGACCACTAATGTAGTACCATAACAGAGCAAGCAGCGCAGTAAGAGTTAATAGGCTTATAGCGTTAACATACTTGGCATTGATTTGAAAGAGCTGACTAGCTGCCTTAAAGGCTTAAATGGAGGTGAGCTGTGATATTCTTGACCTTCTGCAGATAAGGTGGGTGACAGATTGCGGGTGAAGCATCCACAGGATATTGATCTCTAAGATAACACAGTTGATTGTTCTTGCACTACAGTTGGACCGAGCTAGACCCAATTTGGAGCCAACCAAAAGACTGAAATCCACACTTTGTGGGTGCATTCAGAAGAGTGGTTTTAAAGTAGTCCACTGTTATTTTAAGTAATGGACAGGAAAGAGAAAGGAGAAAGGAAATGTGGTGGAAAGGTATTTGATCTCAGACCAGAAACAACATATTATGTTGGGTAGCCGCAAAATGAGTTTGAGCTGACTCCCAGACCCCATGCATACTTTGGTCCCAGCCAACACCTCAGCAGCATCCAATGAAAAGCTAGTGGTCAGTTATCTTCTGATTCTTGTGAGGGCATTGTGGACACTGCATGCTTAAACTGTCCGTCATGTCCTAAAAATCTGTCACACTGGCCAAACAGTTTCCTATTATGTCCAAGTCACTCATCCTTTTAACATCAGGCACTGGTCCCTACCTGGTCCACACAAGTACTGGTCCCGATTTTATTTCTGACACTCGCTGATGTCACACACTATTAAAAACAATGTATTGATACCAGATGCTGATCAGTAGACACTTAATGACTGCAAAGGGTCCAAAAACAGAGGGAGGACAGATAGTGCTATCTACTGGATCGACACATCCCTATGTGATTACCTTCCCCTCCTTCATCAGCGCGGCAGTCCTTCGGGGCCTCTTCATTCACACTGTCACTGTAGGATTTCTGCTCATTTTAATTAAAACATTGTTGTTTTCATCAAGATAACCAGACACAAGGAGTGAGTGAGAAGAGGACAGAATCTGCCTAACTGGATTAAAGCTTATGTAATAGCTCCTTGAGGTGCTGTTGCTTCCACGCTAGTGATCAACCACATAGAAGGACATTAGTCAGAGTTAGCTTTCTTAAATACTGCTCACACTGTCCAAAATAATTTTTACCAACCAAATGACCAGCCAAAATATAACTTTATATATATCAAGCACATGGCTAGTCAGTGTTTGGAATTGAACTCTTCCCCCTTTACTTCTTTTTGTCATCCCTTTAGCTCACTTATCTCTGTCATGGCTCACAATAATCAGCTTATCTGCAGTTCTTTTTTTTTTAAACAAACATTTCACAAGGTTCAGATTCATTTAAATAGCCCAGGTACCATTTACCATAATACTACTTCCCCATAAGCAAGCCTAAGTTTGATTAACAAAGTACAGAAATATTAAAATTAACAGGGCTTTTAATAGAGCTTTTTAAAAGGCATGGGTATTTAACATAAGGGGGGGTCTAACAGCAGCCTTCTTTCATTAGCAGAAATGCTGGTTTGGACAATTGCATATGGAATGGTAGGATCTATCATTTTTGGAGCTTGACCCATACTAAGACTGACTTAGTCCACTGCTTTACTAATCTTGACTATCCTTTTTTTTTAAATCTGTTTCTTTCAAGTCCCCAAATTTTGTGCAATAAAAAATCAGCTTTAACATTACCAGAAAAAATATGAGCAACAAGACCACAGAAGATGTTAAATAAATATATATTCTGTGGGGAAACTAATAATTATATGTCTGAGGTAAAACCCAAGTGTGCGTGTTAGTGAACTTTTTAATAACTAATAATTTGATATGAGTGCATAAAGTTAGCTAGCAGATGATAAAGATTGTAGCGATATATCAGGACTTGGGTACCTGTAGCTGCCTGTGTTGCCTTGTCCCTCTCAGTGGTGCTCTTATCTCTTCTTATATGGCCCCTTTGTTAGGTCTTTTTTTGAGTTCTGTCATGTTACAGCTCTCACAAAAGTAACAC